AGTCCGACGGGAAAGCGTGAGGTGCGGGTTCGAGTCCCGCCCGGGGTCAGACTTTTTCCCATTACTCAACATCCTTGTGAAGTTTCAGTGTTCTGAATGGAATCGGATCACCAAATTTTTTCTTTCGAATTGATATTTTCTATGCGGGAAGGGAGAGCCGCGAAATTCAGCCATCAACTGCAACACCTTCACCGGAGGTGCCCACTGTACTGCCGTGGTCATATTTTTAGTGAAAGTTCTGCGCGAATGAAATGAGTTTGCCTTTGCCTTTTGAGCTTTGACATCGTCGAAATCGCCGGAATACTCTGATTCTGACTTCCGGGACAATGCATGTGACAACCAGGGTAATATGCTTTATCAGGAACCTGTAATCATGAATGACAGTTCTTTACATCATTGTCAAAGTAAGAAGGGTACAAAAAAAAGCAACATATGTAGTATGACCACAGTGACCTGTAAGCTGCGCATACCTAACATCACACCTATACAAAATTTACAACCTAAGATCATTTGTTCCCTTAACGCACACCCCATTTTCCGGTGCAGAATTCGTGGATTTTGCATTAGTCGGTTGTGTTGGCCTTCTGCTAGTCAAAGGTTCGAAGAGCATCTTTTCGAGCTTCGTAGTCGGCACTTCAAATAAACAGCTCCAGAAAAATGCTGTCAGATACGAAAGTGCAACAATAGGGATTGTCCGGTAAACGTACTGAAATGGAAAACGTTCAATATTCATCTATAAGCACAGTCTTGTCCGCTGCGCATGCTGGGGCGTTTCAGGGGAGTGGTTTTGGCTCAACTACAGCCTTTTCTCCACCAATTGTGGTAGCTGGCGGGTGACCACAATTAGTGGGGAACTGGCCCGTCCCACCAAAAACTCAGACCCCTGGAACGCCCCGGACAAGGCTAAGCCTTTTATAAGGTTACGAACTGATTGCCATATGGAGACGTAGTGCGTCGGTCGATCATCGAGGTTGAACACGTACTGAATGATGTAGTAGTGAGTAATGTACGCGCAATAAGAGAGACGACCAAGCGGCTGCCACAACGGGTGATCCATGAAGGTGGCGATTGGTCCTGACAGTAAGTTCTTAGTGGTATAAACACTTCAAACGTTCGTTTTGAGCAGAAACATCATGGACAATGCCGGGGGTATTTTCACAGTGAGGGTATAGCATATGAATGGAAGTAATGGGGGTGATAGATGACGCCCCAGAACTTTCTGTTTCCAGTGGCAACCCTTTCCTTTGGATCCTACGCTCTCACGCCAACTTCCTAACCTTTTTTCAAAAAAAGACAGCGCGGGGAGCGTCACAGCGTCGTTTACCTATTACAACATTGGGTGCAGAACTTTGTCGCAGCCGCTATTGAGAGGGCTGTAAATACACTGAAACGGCCCCAGCCAAATGTCAACAACTGAGAAATTTCTTCTGTCGTGGCTCAGGAAAATCTGGCAAGGATAAGACCAAAAACGACCGCATAACGACCCCACTCCACAACGACCAAGTACAACCGCCACCACTCTGTCGGAGGGGCGGGATGAGCTCACTGCCATTAGTGATCGGTTACTGAGTGATTCAGGACGAAAACAACCAGAACATTGGTACAAGGAAAAAAGAGAAGTACAGTATGAAACGGACTGGGATGAGATGAATGTGCAGTTGCGATTCCCGGCAAGTGATAGGGTGTGTGATCAGGCGCGGATTGAAGCGCTGCCAAGGCGGCCTCCCGATAAATGATGGTGATGCCGCCTGTGTCCGCAGCAACCGGTGAGAAAGGCTGTTCCGTCTGCGCTCCAGTTCACGCCTCTTCACACGCCTTATCCTTTGCAGGGATCATAACTGTAGGAATGAATAACAAGTTGGTATAATTTAACAACAGCCGATGACCAAAAATTTACCTCCCCATCCAAGATGATTTGCCACAATCACCCATGATACTGCAAGCGACCATCCGATTCGTGAGAAGTTGTTATAGGTGCCACGTACTGACTTGCTAAATTCATATGATATTCGCAATTGTTTCGAACCGCCTTTATTTTTCCGTTGAATAATACAACCGGCAAAATTAACGAAGACACGGGAAAAAAGAAGTAGAGCAAAAAGTAAAGCTAAACGAATCATCCTAGAATTCATTGGTGCCCAGTCTTTAGATAAAGAGAAAGGCGTGTTGCATCGCATATGAAAATTGTCCAGGATTCTTTCTTAGAGAGAATCGCTGGCTCAGAAGTGCACCGAGGGACTAGAGGGTAGTCTTTCTGGGTGCCGTCCCCCC